AGATTGACCTAATTTCTCTATCATACCTCAATAATCGAATTCACCACCTAGGTCAAGGAGTAAAGGGCTAACACCATACCAATGTCTTAAAACCTCAATAATCGAATTCATCATTTTAAGAGAAATCAATTAAGAAAATTGATGCAAATGACATTATGAATATAATGGAGTGCATGAATCATATTGACCAATTGTGATATGAAGTTTGGGGTATTACATCCTCCCCTCCTTAAATTTTGTCGACGAAATTGGCTTACCCAAAAGTTCTGGATATTTAATCCGCATTTCATCGTCTCTTTCCTAAGTGGCCTCTTATGTCGACTGATTCCGCCACAATATCTTAACCAATGAAATTTTCTTGCTTCTAAGTTGGTTTACTTCTCGCTAAAGAATCTCTTCCGATTTTTCTTCATAAGTCAGATCTGGTTTTATCTCCATCAGTTCGTTCTTCAATATATGAGAGGGATTTTCAATGTATTTTCTTAACATGGATACATGAAACACATTGTGCACCTGAGACATTGATGAATGAAGATCAAGTTTGTAGGTAACATTTCCAATTCTTTCGACAATAGGAAATGGACCTCCATATCAAGCTTAGCTTTCATTTCTTTACGTGTAACTCCTTTCAATGGCGCTACCTTCAAAAATACTTGGTCTCTGACTGTAAATTCCAACATTTTTCTTCTTTGATCCGCATAACTTTTATATCGGTCTTGAGCCGTTTTGCATTCGCTGACGTATTTGTGTCACAACTTCAGCCATTTCACGAAATATATCCGGTCCCAATAGTTTCCTTTCTCCAACCTCATCCCAATAAACCGGAGATCTACATTTCCTAGCGTACAATGCTTCATAAGGAGCCATTCCAATCGTAGCCTGATAATTGTTATTGTATGCAAATTCCACTAAAGGCAAAAATTTCCTCCACTAGCTTTGAAAATCTAATACATATGACCTCAACATATCTTCCAATATTTGTATTGTTTTTCTGATTGTCTGTCGGTCTGAG